ACAAAGTGGTTTAAATGCTACCACCACGTCGAATGATGACAGTTTCAAAAAATGGGACATTATTTCTGTTATTTACGAATAGCTGTTGAGTTGAATACTTATATATATTGTGTCTGTATTGTTTTTTGTCCGTTACACGTTCCTTACGCAATCAATTAGCTTGATCAGAACAATGTAAAGTGGCTTCGTTAGGTCTAGAACGTGACCATTATCTATTATATAATATATAACTACATCTGCGTGATCCAAGAATCTTTATTTATCAAACTGATATGAATTTCATGTAAATATTTCCTTGTTCACGAATACATATGAATCAGTCTATCCTATTCAGGTCTTGGAACGAGTGCCAAAATCGTATACGAATAAATAAAATAAACTCAAAGAAATGAAACGGTCACTAAAATTGATTCTTCTTCATATATACTCGCTTAAGTCGCCTATCTTGATACTCGTATCGTTTTTTTTTTTTTATTCATCACGTGATCGTAATGTTGCAATTTTCTTAAATGGTTCCTAATTCACAATTATGGTGGAATACTCCTGTAATCACTGCAAGTACGCCTGTTAATCTAGTGTTTAGAGACCTTGACTGCTGACCCGGAGGTAACATGTATAAATTTACAAATATATGTGCATTTTTATCAGCAGTCAGACTCAATCCTAGTTTGGGATCAGACAGCCGTATGTGTCAGATATGACAAGTTATTATTATTTCCTCCGTTTCTAGTTCCTCAAAGAACATTAAGATTATCATAATTATTGCAATTTGCATTCTACAGAGATTTATAACACATCTTTAAGTGGACAGTTGTCCGGTTATATGGAATGCTCTTGCTTTTATCGATTGAACGTGCTTAATCACACACATTAAATATAATGGTCAAAGAATATTATTTAAACTATTAAAGTCTCCTCTTTTTCGAGGAGAGATTTGATATTTGAATAAATATCAAATATCTCCTCTTCTTCCACTGGTGGATTTCTAGCGTTAATGTGATTTAATCTTATAAATCTAGATACATATAAATTCATTTTTTAAGATTTTTTTATGTTTCTAGGTATATAATATTTCTGTCCATTTTAAGGTTGGTAACAATGGCATTCTATGAACTTCTACAATTAAAATTATTTTTATTAAAAGAATTCTTAAATTGTAAGTACATTTTGATTAATATTCTTGATTAGTTGTTAATGAAGGAGCAATCATCATCATCAACAACCTTTAATAGTCCACTGCTGGACACAGGCCTCTCAAAAACTTATATAAAATGGTCTACTACTATTGTTAGTACTATTGTCTACTGACTGAAAGCGACAAAAACAGGTGCGGGAATCATGTTTAGATAATAAAAAGGTGTTTTTTTACATGACAGGGTATTTCGTAACGAATAGTATTAAAAAATCAGTGTACTGTAACCTCATTTAACATAAACGCATGTTTGTCCAAAACGTTTGAAAATCTTCCGGAAATTTGACTCAATTTGTGCATTGAACATTTTTTATTTTCGACAGAACAAACGCACCGCACCGTTTAGGGCGTGGTTTCGAACAGATCCTGAGCTTTTGAATGATACTTGGTACCCCTGTAATTGTAAATATTACAACATGCAATAATGCTGTATTACAAAAAATTGCTAGTGACTAGTTGAGTACACCTACACCTAAATCATAAACGTGATAGAGTGATTTTATTTACACAATATTTAAGTATTTATTTATTTCAATCTAGGAATAAGCACCTAAACTTCACGTTGAAACGTAGATCATAAATCTAAACGACTACACCATTCGTATATTATTAATACGAAGAAACTCATAACGTTAAAATAATAACTCAGTATTTGGTGCACACATACGGTTCTATAAGCGAGCGCAGCGAACACATCAAATATTTATTTTATTGAGGAACTCTTAAAACAGTAGAGCATATTTATCCAAGTTAAGAGCTATTTAATATTCCATTGATGAAGTAAACAGGGGTCAAATGACCCATAATTCTAAGCCGGACGTGTGGAAAACACAGAAATTTACATTTTTCTACGAAACTGTATCTATTATAACGCCTTTCTTTCGTACAAGCTGCTTACGATTCATGTAATTCACCTACTGGGAACCGCTGGCGGCGTTGCCTGAAGCTTCGGACAGTCAGTGTCGACTCAGTTAGCGGTTCTCCCAACATATGTAGAAAACTACTTCGACTTTATTTTGTTCTGTTCCCACAATACACATCAAAATGAAATGAAGGCAAAGTGTAGAACCTTGATGTATTCAACGATGATAATAATCCGAGATAAGGCTGAGAAGCATCACAGCACGGATGTACAGGGTTTTCAGATATGGTGACGTAATGGAAGGTGGTCGCACGATGCAAACGCAACTATTTGTAACAGCTAAAAATGTTAATATAGCGTCTACGACCGCTACCATTAATTAAAACGAGGCAAGTCCCTTATTGGCGTTATACTGAGGAGAATGAGGAGATAATATCTCGGTATTAGTAACACAAGTTTTTATTTCGCTCCGAGTACTTATATTTATGGAAATGATAGCACGACTAAGTAGTCTGCGTTTCCAAACACAGGCTGGCGTTTGTGGGCCCACCCCCGAGATGGCCGTCCCGTGAATAATTTAATGATAATAATGCCGTATTACTGAATTAATTGGGTAATTGATCCCTATCATAGGTCTTTCATGAAAAGTAAGCTAATTATTACTAGGGAAACTGCATTACACAAACGACTTTTTTTTTAAATCGGATCTATTAAAAGGTTTAATTACACGAAATCCCATAGTCAATCAGTAGATGCGTCTAGTATTATTAGCATTAATGTATTATGCATAGGGCAAGTTTGTGGCGCACCTTGCGTCTCGCAGAATGACTTAAATATTTACATTGACGCTTCACCGAGGGTCAATAAAAAATCTGTACAAACCAAGCACATATGGCCTGGGGGTGAGATACAAAAAATCAGGTAGATATTTGATAACGCTGGCGTGACTCTTTGGGGTAAATTAAAGTGAACAGATGTTTATACAATGAATACAGTTCAGAACTTTCTACTTTGTTTAGCGGCAATCTAAAATACGTTTATTCGATGATTCGTGTAACAAATTAAGTGACTTTGTTACACGAACTCGAATTAACGTATTTTTACAGTAATTACTTCCATAACTATGAAAGAAAACAATTACTGCCAATAAACAACGAGGAGTTTGATGTAAAGACAATAACACTGCGTGTTTGTTTTCTTTGCAGACTAAGAACGAATGCTTGGTGCAATTATTGGTATTATAAGAAACTGTTAAATGGAAAGTGTCGTGATATTTTTTTATTGAAATAAGTTGTATAAATAATAAATAAAATTATTACAATTAGCTATGTAACGATGTAATGTATGCTAATGATATTGCTAATTTGGCAGAATACGTTACGATGACGAGTAATGATATAGTGTGGAATTTAAAATTAATAATCTCACTTTAAGTCGACACATATGCAGATATTTGTTTTTTCTTTCTGATATTAAAACTAAATAAATCGTCAATCCGGCAATCGGCAGATTCCAGTATTATCAGACCAGGCCAGACCATGGGATACGGCAAAAAATTAACGATTCTTACGACATTTCTTATGCAGTCATTAGTATCAGTCCGCGTGAATCCCACTTTACTTCAATGTTTTTTAATTCATCAATTTTAATTCAATTTCGAATTTGAATAAAAAACATTTATGTAAATTTTAAACAACAAATATAAGATTAATGCAAAACAAGAGAACAATTTTCATTATAAAGGAAGCAAGCACCAATTGAAAGAGTAACATAGGGTACTTTTTATCGCGATAATCGACATACCGGTGGTGGAGCTGCGGGCCAAAGCCAGTATATAATAGGTCTTTACCTATGAAATTGCCGTTTTGTATGCAATAAGTGAAAGTACTTATTTTTTCAAACTTTTTCATTTCTGTTAAGTAATCACCCATGCAATCGACGCATCTGTGCCAACGCATTGGCAGTTTATTGATGCCCTTCTTGTAAAAATCAGCTGGACGGGCGGCAACAAACTCTTCAAAGGCATTTCGTAGTGCTTCTCGGAAATTGAATTTTTTACCCACTAAAAAGTTGTCTAAATTTTGGAAAAAGTAATAGTCGGTAGGTGCAAGGTCAGTCACCATCCGTGCAGTCAAATTGACTACTATCTAATCTTTTCTTAAGGTATAGAGGGCCAAACTAGCAGACGGGTCATCTGATGGTAAGTGACTACTGTCATCCGTGCAGTCAAGTCAAGCATTCAAGTGAAGTCAAGTTTGAGTGCCTGTAATGGATATAGGATATTTTTTGTCCCAGGAATCACCCTTTAAGGGGGTCAAAAGGGGGATGGCAGTTTGTATAAGAAATCAATAACCACTGAACCGATTTTAATAAAATTTGGCATGGAGAGTGATTTCTGAGAAAAAACAGGCTACTTTTTACCGCGATTACCGATATACGCGCTGGCAGAGCCGTGGGCAAAAGCTAGTTGGGTAATAAATAACGGAGTTATGAAGTAACATAAAAAAACAACCGTGTTGGAAACCTTTTCCTGTCTCGAAGTCGATGACAAAGCAATAAAGCATAAAATCAACAATAATAAATAATTTAGTAGTGCCTTTATACAAAAATACCTACAGATCTACCTACAGACTAACTTTCTTGCTCACCAACTTTTAAAAAATTACTTAAGAAGTTAAATTAATATTTTTTACTAAGTAATTAACATAAATATTTAGGATGGATGCGAGTGTTTTTTCTTCACTTCTTTGTTACGCTTTCACGTCAGCATGATAAACTGCCTCATCGTAAAAATTTGAATACACATTTTACACAGAAAAAACTATTTCACTTTTCAAGAAAAGATCCCTGCACCGAAGAAGACATTGCAAAATAATAATTATTTGTTTTTAATTACTTTAGATATTAATCAAATAAATAGTTATTATAATGTGTAAAAACACTTACCTCTTTGATGCATTGTTGGTTTCAATAACGTCTATAGGCGGTGGCGGCGGGGGCGGAGGTGGAGGCGGTGGCGGAGGACCGCTTACGGGCATCGGAGGACCGCTTAAGGGCGGCGGAGGACCACTTAAGGGCGGCGGTGGTGGCAAAGCTTGCACAGACGGCGCAGGAGGTGGTGGCGCATCCGGCATATCAGGCATCGGTATATCGTGTTCTACTTTCAAATCTGGTAGTTCTTTTAAATCAGGTAACTCTGTTTCCGGTACAGCCATGACTGCCGCTACTGGGGAGGTGACGACTGATGGTGCAATCGAACCATCGCTCGTAATTGAGTATTGTACGTCGCCCGCTATGCCCGGCAAATGAGGTAGGTCAAGTGGCATCTCCAGCTCGGGTACCTAAATGAAGACACGTTCTTTTTATTTTCGAGAAGATTGATAGTTATTCTATATATGAATAAATTAAGGCATATTAATTACGTCCATTACAGGTATCCACAGTCCACCACTACCCTCATCGTCATTTACACTAATACTATTATAGAACAAAGATTTGTATATTTACAATGCATTAATTGATAACCGTACACAATTTATGTTAAAAATTATTTCAGCAGTAATGGTATGATATATTTTTTACTTGACTTTATCAGATTTACTCATAGCCTAGCCTGGCAACTGGTTTCGGAATCACGAATTTAAGTATGAAGAAACGCAACGTTCTTACGATCTTGGTTCATGACCAGCCACACTCTTCTTTTTCTAGAAAGTCTTAGTTGACATGGACTACTAATATGTATCGAATTTACTTATTACAGACAATGGCCAAAGGATATCAGCCTAGTGATGTTAGTATGCACTATTTTTAACTCTGTAGCATTCGAAGTATAAATAAAAATCTTATTCCATAAATAACCACCCATCCCGCCTACTGATAGTTGGGTGTCTTGCGTTGACTAGATAAATTACTGATGTTATTTGAGAAATTTATTAAATAAATAGAATTGTGTAGTGCAGATCGATTTACTCGAAATGCGGCTTAAAATGTCTAAAAAGACGATGGTTTTTATTGATGGTACTCGTAATTAAACCACAGATTTGTCTAGCATCAAAGGTGGAATATTAGTACAGGTGTTTCTAGTTTATATATCAAATCGGTACTAATCACACTACTAATTTTTTTTTTGCACATTCATTATAATTATTCAACTTCCTTCAATATGATCGACCCGAGGGCCTAGTGTGAGTTAATTTTACATCAAATTAGTGACCGCGTTCGGCCTTGCAATTGGCCAGCATTGAAATCTTCACCAATCGCAACGCCAAACGCGCTCTTTGTTGAAAGTGAGTTGATGTAAAACAAACTCATACTATCTGATATATTTCAATGGCTGATGCGTGCCTCTTGCTTGTGAATGAGTGACATTGGTCAGGACCGGTCATATCCGATCTTCTATTACTGAAATACAATATTAATAAGTAAAGTGATAACAATGATTAAGGACAAAATACTCACAATTCCCATTCCAGGTGCATAAAGGTATTCATCAGCATCTCTTTTCAATTCATCTCTGGTCATAATAGATGATGGTGCTGCTTCCAGTAAGCTCTTATTCTCGACTTTTGTTTGCACAAATGGGACATATGCCGACGCCCTTCTTGTGGTACCGAGATAAGGACTTTCGTCTGTGTTAAAGATCAGTAGGTCGCCTACACTGGATAGGTTACCTAGCACTGAGTTTAAATTGAAGTCCTGTTTGGGTATCTGCTTTGGAGGCTCTGCTACCTTCACGTGATAGAAGTGCAGCTTCTCCTAAAATATAATGCACAAGTTAACCTATAAGGTTTTTGAGAGGTGTTGCAAGTTTAGTGTTTATATCTGTGTTTGTTTGGCATTATAAGTCCTAAACGGATGGACCGATTTTGATTTTATTCATTCTTTTTAAAAGATTATTTGATGGTGTAGCAAAAATTCAAGAAAATCTACGAAAAAAATATGAAGCTGCTAAGCATATTAGTTAAAAATCGGCATAAAGAACTTTAAAGTTACTTGAATACCATAACATTTAATTTAATGGCAAAAAAAGAGATCTAACAATAAATATAATGAAATATAGGATTCAATGATAAAAATATTTTTCTTGTTTTTTAATTTAAATTAAATCTTCCAGAATGGGATTGGAATTACAATAACTTTGCTTATTAAGTGCTTTTTTAGATACACTAAAGAATATTGTAAAACACAAATTAAAAAGTTATTCATGACTCACCTGTAATTCGTTCTCACCAGGCTGCCCCTGAGTCTTTCCTTTCAGAGTTACTTTTTTAGGTTTGTGCTCATATTTGTCTTGGTTAAAAGTTGATTGGTAATGTTCATGGGTTATCGAGGCCGGGTACTTCGCACTCGAGAACACCTTGATTGCCTTCTGCATACCAGTCAATTTGTCTACTTTAAATCTAGATGCTTCAATTCGTTCGTACAGTTTTCTTGTCTTATCTGTGTTCTGCTCGATTCTCATCGTGAGTCGTGCAAACACGTCGTCTACAATACCGTTGAGATTATCCAAAGTATCTACTATTTGCAGAATCGTCTCCTCTACACTCAGATCACTCGGTACCAACTTTATCTGATATATACCTTCCATAGTTAAATAATCTCTCTTACTTGCATACTTTATATCTGTAACAAACATTGTTCTATTGAAAACGGTGTTGAGAACAATGTAAGCAATACCAATAAATCAACTGGTCCAATCCAGATTTTTTATCATTATTAAATAGCTTTCAACGTTTTCTTACCTACTAAGATTTTTTAAAATCACCTAAAATAAATTAATAAGGCACAAGAATTATCACTAGACAACACATCCATATTCTTGTGTGTATTAATATTATGTCCAATAATTGTATAGCACTTTGTAAAGCTTATAGTTCATTATTTACAATTCCATCACTAAGTCTATTTTGTCAGTACTGTATCACTTATAGTATGCTTAACTAGGCTCAATTTTTAGACGACTTTAACGTATGCGAATCGGCGAGTAACGCATGAAGATTATCGTTGGCCGGGTCAGTACTCCATGAGAACCTGCAGTACGCATCAGGTGACATAGTCGGGTCCAAAATCGCCGACTCTTCTGCCAGCTGTCCGCCCGACAACATGTTGTTTAGATGCTTGTTAATCACCGCGTCTCCTTGGCTCACGTAGCCACTAGACGCCACGGGCTTCAATGGCACTGTACTACGCACAGGCTGCTTATGACTAGTCAAGGCATCCAACGACTGTAGCTGAATATAACTACTGTCGGCGCCGTGTTTCACAGGCTGTGGCAAGGTAGGCATAGTTGGCAAGCTCTCTGATCCGAACACCTTGGTTGGTGAGGGACCTAACTTGGGAAAGTTCATAGACTTAGGCTGAGCCTCTTCAGGCCTCACATACCCGGATGATGGTGGTTGAGACTGTATGCTAGGTTGCGCGACGCCAGTCGTAAATATAGGCGGTGACAATCCAGCCATAACATAGCTTGAGCTAGCGGGTAGTGTCGTAGGCTTCGCAAGGGGGCTCCTGTGTGGAACAGGTGCCGATTGAACATAGCCAGTGCTAGGGTCAACCACAGGTTGAACATATCCACTAGGATTCTTTTTGAAAGCTTTGTCACCAAAATAAGATGAGTTCTCTTGAATATTGCCTGTTTCCGAATTTGAAGATTCTTCATCACGCATTACATTGTTATCATCAGTTCTCACAGGTTCCACTTCTAAATGTAATGAAGATTCGGAGCCATCATCAGATGTGGATGCATGCCTCTCGGACACAGGACACCGTGAGGTATCCGATAATGCAGTGCTGTCCGTGTGATCACTGGAACCACAATTATTGTCTGTAGTCTGTTTATTTTCTGTAGTCGACACTGGAGTTCTGCTGTTAGGCAATAATAACATTTCATCTGATGATGGTTTATCATCCTTATTGGTGGAATACAATCCTCCATATGCATATTTGGAGACATCCTTTTCAGGTATCCCCAGACCATTGGGTAGAACGGGGTCTATATCTTCCATTTTTCTAACTATCTTAACCATCTTAATAGAACCATACATGACACCAATTAATGCAAATACTGCCACAAGAATAAGTCCCATGGTGATTTCACCCCTGCTTCTACATGTCACTGTACTCGGATTACTCCAGTCACCATAAAATTCTTTATGTTCAACTTGGCCTTTAGGCATTTCGACTTCAACTCTGTCTGCTAATATGCCATGATATGGATCCTCATCTATGTTTACAGCTCTGACTTGGTAATATTCAGAATGTTCTACTCCTTCACAATGTATTAAAGAATATGACAAATTTGTTGTATTAAATATTTCAACAGTGTCAGGGTTATCATCCTTGATTCTTTTTATTTCGTAACGATCTACAGTACCGCCTGGCAAGACTGGAGGGTCCCACTTAAGAAGACCTGGGTTAGTCTTAACAATTGGTGGGTTTAAAATGCTTGGAGGTCCAATTCTCGTCCTCACAAATATGGCATCAGATGCTTTAGGCTTAGAGCAGCTTCTAATCCCAGGGTTACAAGCCTGAACACTGATGGAGTAATTAGTAAAGGGTTTTAAATTAGTTACTTTAACAGACCTCCTACCAATATCTTTATCCACATTAGGTATTTTTTCTGCATGAAGCTCTTGGTCCTTGTCTAAAATAACATATTTGCCTATTATACCATTTTTCTGTGCAGGTGGATCCCATGAGACCACAAGAGAATCAAATTGGATGTCAGATAGTGTAACATTTTCAGGATTTGATGGAGTGTCTTCTGTGGTAGTTACTCCTGTAGATGCATTTTCAATTGTCTTTAATCCGTAGGTAGTGTTCAATGCTAATGTGAAGTGATATGTCCTATAAGGTTTTAAATCTGTTATATTTATTTCCTTTTGATTTGGGTTATCAATGTAAAGTTTAGATTTTTTTCCAAATGAAGGATCGCAATCACTACTTGTATTTACCACAGGACAATATGATATTTGATAGCCCGTAATAATGCCCTCTTGAAGAGTGCAAGACATAGTCCAAGTTATTCTCACATGGGTCTTTCCTGGGGCATCATGGTTTACTTGTACTGGAAAGCCATACATAGGAATTGCATCTTTCGATATGTCACATGAGGCCCAAATCATACCACTAGTTTTATAAGCACTGTTAGCTGATATTGCAAACTGGTACCTAGGTCCTCTTGGTAAATCAATTATATGAGTGCTTTTTTCAGGGTCTAAAACGGTAAAATTCATTCGACCTGCACAAATTTTTGTAGTATTATCTTGACACCAAAACAATGTGTAGTTGTCAAGGTTCTCTGCTTTGATCCATGATAACTTATAGGTACCATTTCCATAAGCCAGTTTTGTGAATGAATGTACCTGTAGAGCATCAGTATCTCGTTTTGATGGGACATACAGATGACTATTATTAAACGATGAGCCCACAGCATTCATTGATGAAATGGAAAGATCAATAGCTTCAAGGGATGCATCGTTTAGTATAACATAACTTAAACTTTTGTTCTTATCTGGGAATACTGTCTGTGGATTCTTGGATCCTTGTTTGACAACAACCCTATAGGTAAAGTTTGCACCAGCTTCCTCATATTCCTCAAGTTGCTTCCAATAAATATAGATGACCCTTTTATCATTATAAATTGATTGGTCAAATGCCCCGATAATGGTGTCTGGTGGCCTTTGAGGTTTTTCACTAGCTGTTGTAAAGAGCACATAAGTGAAATCAGACCAGAATCTGTCTTCTGCATTCTCAGGTTTTATATATACCCTTACTTCATATGACATGTGAGCATATGGCAAATTTGAGAGCAAAAATGTATATGATTTCTTGTTAGGATTTGATTTATTACTAACATTTGATTTCAGAATTGAAGTGTCTACACTTCGGAAATAATCTGTTCTGTCAATTTTAGCTATTTGGTACTCTATTCTATGAATGATAGGATAAATGAGGAAATCTACTATATTATTTGGAATAGTCCAACTCAATAGCACACTGTGTGGCTCTTGACTCACCACTTTCAGATTTATAGGTGGATCAGGTTTGACACTAGAGAAATGATTTATTGTAAATATTTGATTATTACAACCAAAATAATTACATGATCTTAACAGAAAATTAAATTGCTCCTCCATTTGTTTGTATCTCGGTCTGCTTGTGGTATTCCAACTGCATAAATACTTTTCACCGTCTCTCTTTATCTGACACGGAATTGAGGCCTTGTTGTTAACCAAGAACGCTAACGAATAGTTGGTTTTGCTTAAATTCTCTCTAGATGTCCAAGTACAGTTCAATTCTTCAATATTTTTCGATATACAACTAAAATCTGTTATATTAGATGGCGGCAAATCCACCAGCACTCTGGTAGTACACGGTTTATTAGTCACATTGTTCAAGCAGTAATAAGTTGACACTTGCTTCTCTACATGTTCAATGTATAGCCTTCTGGTGGTTCTATTTACTATTTCGGAATCGACAAGGTCCTCTCCAAGGAAAAACTCCAAGTCGTTGGCAGTGTAATTGTTTTCAGCGATACAAAATATCTCAAGGGGCTGACCATAACGAAGGTTAATCATACGCTCAGGATATAAAGCGACTGAAATATTAACCCCTTGACAACTCGAAAATATACACGGCAAATTGATCAAACATTTGATAACAATGCACCACATCCATAGCCCGAACTGTGGCCTCCTCCGGACCCCTTGGCACTGACTTTTTCGCGTACTTGTACATGTATTTTCCATAACTGCTAAGTTTTTCTATCACTCCATAACGAACTGATACACCGTTTTCAACTAATTCGAATGCGGCGAGAAACACATTACTTGTTTTTTTTTTAACTAGCAAGCTAAATGGCGCACCGACGATCCCAACACGATGACACACACTGACTGAGCTCCGTCACTGCACGCGCATGATTATATTATCTATTTTACATGTAAACGTCTAAAGCTAGCAGTCCTTACTATGTTCCCGAATGAGTAGTATTTGACAATAGTTGGATCGAAAGCACCGTACTCGAAAAGTTATGCTGCATTGAAACGCTGCAGTTACAGTACTTACATAAAATAAAACAGAAGAAACTTCGCGGAGTAAATTCTCAGAAATGCCAACTTCACTGCGGAGTGAAGTTAGCAGGTAACTTAAGAAAACAAATCAATGTTAAAAAGTGTTACCATGCGAATAATTATACCCTGAAATATAGTAACAGACTAATATTGTATCTCGAAAATAAAAATAATCTTTTTAAATCAAAATGAATTTATAAATCTGTTTCTTAGCGCATAACTCGAGAGTAAGTTATTTGGTTCGATAATCCATACTTATATAAGATTACTTACCTTAACTTACTAATTCATCAACGCGAGGCAGTAACCCCTGGGTCCAGAAACTTGATGACAGCCAATACTTTTGTATTATATGCAGGAGGGTAAAATAAGAGATGAATGGTTGTCTGGCATTTCGTCGTTTTCACGTCAGATTACAAGAAAATTGACATATTATGTGTCGTGGTTTTGCAAGATTTTATCCATTGGGGGTAAATTAGGAGTTGTAAGTTGTGGGAAATACGTAATTTTCAAAGTTAGCAACTCGAAATTTTGTATCCCTTCTTCTGATTACAAATAAATGAACACATTTATTGGGGGTCTGTTAAATTTAACCCCTGAGGTGGTAAATTAAGGGTTGTTATTTTACATACAAAGTTAACATAACTTCGGTACACTTACGCTTGCATTTTTCGAACTCTCAAAATTTATCGTCCACCGTTTTAATCTTCTTTTTTTTTAAATTTCACCTCCTTATTTTTTATTACATTCATAGGTTGTTGTTTTTTCCCACTGCTTCTTTTACTAATGTAAACTTTTTAATGGTAAATATAAAATAATGAATACTCTTCGCATTCTTTTCCCCATCTCTCGTACACTGTACGTATGTAATAGTAACCATATGTGTAAATTTTACGAGTTTTTTGTTGAGCCAAGCCTACCTACCTATACATTCTGCCTGATAGAGGAGAGTCCAATGTTTTGCTATCTATTACCAGCCAGTGTTTTATTATATATTTTACTAGCTGACCCGGCAAACGTTGTTTTGCCATATACAATATTGAAAAAACAAATTAGGGGTGGGTCACCCTTGTCATTTAGGGGTATGAAAAACAGATGTTGGCCGATTCTCAGATCTACCCGATGAGCACACAAAATTTCATAAAAATCGGTCCAGCCGTTTCGGAGGAGTATGGTAACTAACATTGTGACACAAGAATTTTATATATAAGATTATCTAATTTATGGCAGACGCAGACGAAGTTACGCGAGTCAGCCAATTCTAATATAAACTTATACAAATGTGGGTAAATACCCTCTTTTCTTTTGCAAGTTAGACAGCATAGCTCACGATGTGGTGACCGACCGAAGGTTCGGTTTCGCCCAAACAATCTATTTTAAATCGAGTTTCGGTTTCGGACTTACGGAAACTTACGGACGCATAAAAACTCAGTATTCTTAAAGTGTCGTGTGTCGTTCGATTAACTTCGCGGCTAAGTCGTCGAAAAGGCTCTAGCTCAGATCGCCGCCGTCGAGTGCAATCTTTTTTTTAAATTGTGTTTGAAGGCAAGCGAGCAGACACGGGTCGAATGATGGTAAGTGACTTCAACTTAAGAATGGACAGCTGCAACTTAACGAGTCATCAGTGCATTTCCACCCTTTTAAGTCCCTTTACCTCTCTCACTCCGTTAAAAATCAGCGTAAGAACTGCTTAACTCAGGTTTTCTGTGAGCAGCTTATCACTCCGGTTGAGCTGGGCCATGTGCAGAGGTGTGGCTCTCCAAAGACTAATTCAAATAATTATGTATTTATTTTGTTTTAACTTGTAATTAACATTATTTTATATTAAAAGCAAAATTATTAGGTATATAGTATCGTCTTATTGAGTTTTATATATTAGTGACACATAAAAGAGATTATATTCGATTCAGATATTACTTACGCCATATTATAGAACGTTTCTCAAAACTCAAGAAACTCTTGAGCGTAGTTTTATAAGGCGAAAACTAACCTTAAGCGTTTCTGGAGTTTTGAGTATTTTTTGAAATACCTACCTTAGATTTATTTCTTTACAGATACTTAATAATATTTTTAACCACCCAATAAACTTATGCTACGTATAATCTTCAGTTGCTTAACTTTAACTAAGTGAAAACAGAAAACACGTATAGTCACGTATAGTTCAAATTAGTAGTCAGCTACCTCGTCCCGTTCGTTCACGCCTATCGCGTGACGTACCCATCTAGTTAAAGTGAGTAAAAACTATAAAAGCGAGATGCTGGAACTAGGTGTATCCGATCACACAGCACAATTAATGAAATTTCCAAAACAACAAACTTGTATTTTGAAGTTTTGGTACACATGCAAACGCGATTACCTCAAAGAATATATTTAATAGATGTCTTGAAAATTTAAGTTTTTCTGAGATCTAAGAATCTAATACCGCTAATGAACGATTTCATGTTTTTTTAATTAATATTTTTTAAATTTTACGATCTATGCTTACCCATAGTAGAGTAAAGTAAAGTAAAAAATATCTACACTTGTTAGACCGAAGTGGATACCCGAGGTATTAAATTGTGTAGTAGAAGGAGGCGAGAGTTGCTTTGGAAATACAGACAGCGAAAACTGGCGACACGAAACTAGCTTTTAAAACATACAATAAAAGATATAAACTAAATTAAAGCTGACTCAGAAGGCAAGGAATAGTTATTTTATGCTAATAGTAAAAATAAATCCAAAGCTACGTATAAAATAATACATTTAATAAATACGAATGTACCTAGGGATAGTTTCAAGAAATTAATAATTAATGGTAAATTGGTAACCGATCCAAAATTGTTTGCAGAGGGGTGAATAATTATTAAATAAACCAGGTAGATCCTAATATAAATCTAATGACATGTAATCATAAAAATAAATTTAATTTTAAATCATGTAAATCTATGTTTATGAAACCGATAGTACATAAAGACGTTAATTCTATACTAAAAGAATTTAAAAAACACTGGCACTACAGTCTATAATGAAATCCACACGAACTTAGTGAAATCTGCAGGTACTATAATAGCACCTGTATTAACTGACATCCTAAATGGTTGTATTCAAAGCGGTACTTTTTCGGACAAGCTCAAGACATCAATCGAAAGACCTCTGTGTAACGGGTAACTACCGACTCGTTGCATTGCTGGTCTTGTCTAAAACTTTTGAGAAAATTATTTACAGCAACCTGAATAACGACGAAGGCAAAATGACGAAGTGAACAGGGACCTAGAGCCCATAAAATCCTGGTCGATGAGATTTGGACTGTCGATTAACCCAACCAAATGTCAGGCAATTGTAGTAGGCAGCAAACGTTTAATGAGCACATTGGATACTACCTCTATCTCTCCGGTCGTCTTTAATGGCACAGTTATTCCATTCAGCGCTACAGTCAAAGACCTGGGCTTGCTCATCGATTCAACCCTCGATTGGCAAGTTCAAGTTACTAGCGTGAGCCAGAAAGTAACTGGAAACCTGCTAACATTATATCGTCTAAAGAATTTCTTGCTTACTAAAACCACACTCATGCAGTCCTTAATAATTCCAATAATTGACTATAGTTATGTATGTTACTTCGACCTGAATGCAGACCTTCTTAATAAACTGGACCGTCTTCTCAATAACTGCATTCGATACAATTTCAATCTTCGGAAGTATGACCATGTGTCTGCTTTGCGCTCCCAATTAAACTGGTTACCTATTCGCCTGCGTCGCCATCAGCGTGCACTTACGTCTCTATTTTCACTCTTAAACTCACCGAGCTCACCTACTTACTTCGCTCCCTACCTGCGTTACCTGTCCTCTAATCACGACAGAAATCTTCGCTCAGAAAATAATCTGCTTCTCTTATGTCCCTCCCACAACTCATAGCCGTTTTGTATTCAAAAAGAAGGTGCACCTCATATTCCGGTATACATATTGTACGAATATAACACGTATATTTATAAAGATATTTATCTATATATATATATGTATGTGTATGATGTGATGTGTTGTATATGTGTATGTATATGTATGTAGTGAACCGTGTATATTTTTATATATTACATGTCATAATATGTAATCTCTGTGCACCTACCTTATATGATTTCTACACCACCCAAAGGTTGACTGGAAGAGAATGCCTTGGGCATTAAGTGCGCCGATGTACAAAAGTGCATAAAGTTTAAAATAAATAAAAAATAACTATCTGGAAAACAATAACATTTTTTGTAAAGAACAGATGGGCTTTAGAAAAATAAACTTAATACGGCTGTATATGGATTTCTAAAGAACATAATATATTAATCTAGATAACCGTATACCAGTAATTTTATTGTATATGGATATGACAAAAGCGTTTGATTACGTGAATTATAACATTTTATTTAAAAAAAAAATGAATAATTACGAAATTAGAGGCAACGTTCTTGACTTGATACAATCACTTTTAGAAGATAGAATTCAAATAACACAGATAAATTCAATAATCTTTAAATCAAAAA